TATTTACATGTCTTGGTTGTTTATTAATCTGCACCTTGAGATGATTCCCTTAGTGAAAAGGGCCTTGATGTGAAGGCAAGGAGATCTGTGGTCCTAGTCAGTACCTAGCACAGCATCTAGCATCTCAAAACCTCTCAACACATAAATGAAAATGTCAGGTCTACCACTTTCTATCTGTATAAGCTTGAAAAAGTGTTATCAAATGTCTGGATTCCAGTTACTCCATTTATAAAATAAAGCAAATACTTGCCCTGCCTACTGTAGGATTGGTAAAAATAATAAATGTGCCCTTTATAAATTGTAAAGTCTCACATAACTGTAACAAGACATTAATAATGGTTATAAAGGAAAGCAAAATGTCCTTTATGAGTCAGGCTGGGCAAATTCCCATGAAGTGAGGTTATCAGGCAGTAATCCTAAGAGTGGCAGGGAGCTGCAACTTCTGCAGACCCAACTCTCCCTCTCTTCTTCTCTCACCTGCAGGCCAGGCCCTCCTGACCTTCAGCAGACAAACTTCCTTATAAAGGCATTCGCTTTTATTAATGATAACACTCTCCCCCCATACCCCACACACAAACTCCTCATGGATCTTCTTTTACCTGGTTTTGATTTGTGAAAGGATCAGTTGGGTTTAGATGAGCTTCATCTTTCAAATGGTCATATATATTCTCAGCATTTCAAAGGGTTTTCAGTTAACCAGTAGGATTCCACCAAACCTAGAACTGATCTCATCTGCTCAAGACCCAGGTACCTTCCGCCTTGCCCAATGACTCAATGCCGCACACGCCTATAGATGCATCTTAGATGCATAATGCCCTGGCAAGTGTGCCTCCCCCGAGCGGATGTACACACAGCACCCCAGAAAAATATTCTATGTTTAATCTGGAGGTAGGGACGAAGAAGCCCTGTATTTCAAAATATTTTTTCCAGTATCAACCTTCTGTAAGTGCTTCCTATCAACTTCAAACAGACATATGAAATAATTTTCTTTTCCCCCTGGAAACACCAGTACCCAAAGGCTCTCAAGAGTTGTATCCCAAAAGATCCTGATACCTGCTGCTCTTCCCTATCCCAGCTCTCCTGTCTGTTGTGGCTTCTCAACATCTGAAAATACAGAACTGATTAATTATGAATGCTGTGGCTTGTCTGACCCACATCTCACCTTACTCTTTGCCCTCTTGGAATTCCATTCCATAGTCAGAGGAATATCAATTTCAGAAAATAAGGTTTCCCTGATATTCAACCTGAAGTTTCCTTCTGCAAGTCTCATCCTATTACTTCTATGGGCCACACTAAATAACTCATCTCCTTCACTGCCATTCTCCCTCCTCAGAGATTTGTAGATTGTTACCATGGCTTTCCCTTCATCGCCACTTAGCCCAGCCATATATATTTAATTCTTTTCATCTTTCATCGTAAATCAGTCCCTTCAACTCTTAAATCAGCTCTGTGCTCTTCTCTGGACTAGTTCCAACTCTCCCAATTCACCTCCAATAACTGATATCCCTTCTGGGAGCTCCAATTTCCTCTCTATCTTCCTTTGCTCTCTTTGCCCTCTCCAGAAATGAAATGGGAAGAGACTGACAGATACGTGAGGTCAACAGTCAGGTATATTGCATTGCATACATCCACTTAAAATTGCTCAGGCCTCTCCATAGTACATGTAAAGTCCCCAGTCATATAACCCCTTTCCTGGAGTGGGAAGGGAGGTGTTTAAAGGGAAACAGGCCCTCCTATCCCACAGGTCATCATCAGCCTGGGGGAATACGGAAGCAAGATGTCAGAACATCTACAAAACAGGTTACAAAGTGGAGCTGTTGGCAATGTGGTAGCCTCTGGGTAAACACCTTTTCTGAGGTCTGGGCTGTCCCAGGATGGTGCATCACCATTCATACAGTCCCAGCAACTGCCTCTCTACCTCTTCTCCATGAATGGGTGTTCTGGGGAACTGCCTCAGACTTTGAAACACTGATCTCATTTATGAATTCAAAGCAGCCCACAAAGAAAAAAACATTAGCATGTCATGCATTATAAGGCCTCTCAGACATCCTTTTGTCCTCTCAGAAAGACCAAACAAGAAATATGAAAGTCTTGCTTTGTCCTGACTGGGTGCTTTTCCATTTTTACCACATCCCTAGTCATGGTCCTGCTCAGATTTAGGAAGCTCTCTTCAGTCTGAGAAAAATAGTCTGCTCCAACCCCCTCACCACAAGGGGTAGCAGAACACCCATCCTCTCTCCTTCCCTCCCCACAGATAGCTCCATCAGCATGATTGTGTTCCACTAGACAAGACCACCAATCACTTGGGCAGAAGCAGAAAGAAATAAGCTGAGTCGTGCCTATTTTCCCTTTGTATAATTGAAGATCTTACGTTACAGAAGAGTTAAATGCCTTTTCTATAAATCAGAGCCTATATAAAAAGAAAAACCCATTTCCTCAAACATGATAAATAGCAAAATCAATCCAAGTGGGAGAACCTAAGCTTGAATTTTCATACAAGAAAATGAATGGAACCACAATGACATATGTTGCCCCAAACATGAAACATCATATAGTAGGGTGTGTCCACTCCCTCCATGGGGAGGTCTGCAGTGGTGACCGTATCTGAATGAGGCTAGGGAGGCAGTGGTAAGGTGAGAGGCTAGTCCTGCATGGCCGGCTGCCTAACTGCAGACAGCATATGTCTCAGAACAGGAGAGTCCAGCCTGCTCCAAGTGTGATCACCACAAGGCCTGAAGTGCTTTTCAATAAGCTACCTGTCTCTCTTGAGGTCATGGGGAGCTCATCCAGTTACACTTAGTGTCTTATTTGATCCCATCAATAATCATTTGATCCCAATCCTGCTGAAAAATACCTAGCCAAAATTTCTAGCCTTTTAATGGCAGAATCCTGGCTCTTTATGAAAACAGCATTGCTAGATGTGTCAAATGATGCATAAGGGCTTGGTCCAGCTGCCAAATGGACTGTGCTGCTGAGGGAGGACGTGGGATGATCACAGTTCTTCCCTACTTCCAGAGGCAGAGCAGCTCTTGGAGCTCACTCCTTTCTACATGAAACTCCCCCACTCAGCAGCTTCAACTCCTTATCTAAGGCTTGACTGGAGTATATTCTTCAAATGCACTAAGCATGAGACTCTTTAGAGACACCCACTGATAACTTCATGCAACCTGGTTGTATATAGTAGGCAAGTTCAAGGCTGCAGAAAAGACCCCTTTGCCTGTCACCAACATCTGACAATAGCTGATATAGACTGCTGGGACCTGTGGTCATTTAACAAGAGGTGAATGCAAAACTCCAGAGATGCTCATAGACATGAAAATGAAAGAAAATCCACATTTTTAGAGAAGTCCTTTTTATAGCCATTACAAAAACATCAGGCAGTAAAAGAGAATGTTGCATGTATAAACCACAGAGGCCACAATGACTTTAAAGCACAGCTGTTCTTTACAAAAGTACCTGTGGTGAGACAACAGTATTGGTTTCCCATCTCAGTTCAGAAGGCACTATCAAACTCATCAGACCCTGCCTCCTACTATAGACAAATATAAATTCCAGCATTGAACACAAAGGGGTCATTTTAGGTGCCAATGCCACTAATGCTAATGCTGAAATATGCATCCAGACTCTGTTTTCCTTGAGGACCACGCACCAGTATGTTTTCTGTGCAATAACTGAGGAACCTCAGCTTCTGGAGATCTCTGCTGCATGAGAGTATTGGGTGTATGTGGGAGTGTGTGTGTGTGTTGGGATAAGCAGGGGAGATACTTGTAGCTCTACAATAGGCCTTTTTCAATGCTTTCTATCCAATTAATACTAGACATTAGTAACCAGTGGAGCATAAGAATTTCATTTATTTCTGACGATGAGAATGATAGAAAAGAAGCTGGGTTTGCTCAATGGAATTAGTGTAGGCTTTTAAAAGGCATGATTTCTTTTCTGGCCTTTCTCATTCATTTACACTGTATATTTTATTCACGAGTCTTTCCCCAGTGGTCTTACAGGAGAAATATCCATTGAAAACCACCTGGTTTTCCAGGCAAAGGATACTATGGGAAGAGTTAGAAGTAAGTGCCTGCACACACACCCCCAACTCAGTGAATAAGGGAAGAAAATGAGAGAGGAAATGAAACAGAAACCTCATTTCAGGAGTCTCCAGCAGAGAGATCTGCAGTGAAACAAGCCTGCCAGAGACTGACATCCAGAGCTGCTGCTGCAGACATTCAAGCTAAGAATTGGAGGGGAGGGAGGGGGCGGGGGATGAAAGGCAGGGAACTCAATTATTGTCTCTCCTTGGCTTCACAGTGACTCCCCCAAAGCAAGACAACCTTGGCAACTTTGCCCCTTCTCTCCACATCTCCCTCTGGTCCCCTGTACCTTAGCTCCTCTGGGGCTTTCTCAATGACATCTGAGAGGAAGAACAAGAGTCTGAGAATGAATAGTAGACTGGGGCTGGGGGAGAGGGGTGGGTAGAATGAATTAATGAAGCAGAGGCAATCCCTAGGTGAGCCAATATTTAGAGGGGACAGCTGGGTAGGACTGAACAATATGAAGAGGAATTCTATATTCCCTGAGAAAGTGTACCAAATTCCCAAATCTGTGGTGACAGGGAAGAGGAACAAGGGGAGGGAAGAAGGGCAATAGCTTTGAGATATAGAACTAAGCTTGGAACATAGAAGTAATAGGGGCATTTCAACTGTTCCAGGGGCCCTGGAAGAAGGAAACCCAATTTTGGCTGGGACCCTGTGTAAGTCAGTAGAAGGAGGCATTCTGCAATTCCTCCAAGAAACTTTCCTCCCAACTTGGTTGCTAGAGTGGAAGACACTTGGGGACTGACTGCGTCCAGGGAGAAAAATGGTCTAACTGGGGGAGGAGGTTTGCAAAAGGAAAGCGTGCTAATAACCAGAGCCTGAGATTTTGCAAACGGGCGTTAGTGGAAAGTGATTGCAAATTGATGTGACTAAAAAACCAAATCCCCACACGCTCAGGCAGGAGCTGCTCACCGGTCCCGAAGATCTGGAAGAGAAGGCGGGGCTGGGAGGCTCTGATCGCCGCGGACAGCCTTCCCTCTCTGCCCACTTCCGACGCCTTCTTCTCAGGCATCAGGCGGATCCTCAGCCGCCCTTCGCCGTGGCGAATCCACCAGCTGAACAGCTCGCTGAGGTTGAATTGGAGCAGTTCCGCAGCCGCCTCCTCTGGGGGCCCGACGCAGCCCTCAAGGATCGCGTCCTCTCCCAGCTCCAGCACCAGCTGCTTGGCGCGCCGGAGCTTGCGAATCGAGCCGCCCTTCAGCACCCTGGACAGCATCCGCGCCGGGGCCGGGGCAGGCGAGCTGGCGCCTGCTGTCCAAGAGACCCCCGGTGGTGGCCCCACCAGCCTAAGCAGTGGGGCGCAGTCGAGAGCCAGCGAGCCGCGCGCCTCCAGCCGGCCAGCCCTGGGCTCCGAGGCGGACGACGGCGGCAGCAGCAGGTCCCGGGCATAGACGCGGAAAAGCGAGGGCACTACGAAGTCCACTGCCAGGCTCTTCCTCTGCAGGCGCGAGTAGCTGAGAGGCTCCCGGGGCTGCAGCGCCGGCCCCACGGCCGGTGAGCCCATGCGCTGGCCGGTCCCGGTCCCGGTCCCGGTCCCGGAGCCCGAGGCTGCCGCTGAAAGCAGCGGCAGCAGCCGCCATAGAAGCCCTATACCTCCCATCCCGCCAGAGGAGGGTTGCTTATACTAGTCTCCCGACTCTCCGGGATCCAGCCTCGCCTTCGCTTGCCCCCAGATGGGAAAGGGGCTCCGAGCAGTCCTTAGTTCTGAATGGCTCCTTCTACCTGATCTCTGGGGGATTGTGCGTGCACTGGATTCTCTTGCTTTCCTCCAACTGCAAAGAGGCGAGCAGGAGGAGTCTGAGTAAAACGGGCCTGGAAGCTCAGGGGCGTGTCAAGAGACCCTGAAGCGCGAAGGTCTTTAGCAGCTGGGACCCTGTACCTCTCGCTCGCCGCGCCGAGAGCCGCGCCCCCGTCTGTAGCCCGCTGCGCTCTGGAACAAGAGAAACTACTATGGTCGAAGGGAGGTGGTAATTCAGTACCGTCCTCTCCTGCCCCCGCGGCCTGAGCTGTGCTCTGTCCGCTCTCGAGCGGCCTCCAATCCTCCGTAACTTTCTAGCTGGGAACGGCGGCTCCGAGCTGGTGTCTGCTGTCCTGGACGCCTCCTGTGCTCCTTTCGGTTCCTCTGAGCTCCTCTCCCTCGTCTGGGGGGGAAACCAAGGGTAGAGGCTGCTTTCTCGTGCACCCTCCTGCGAACCTCCGTAGCGGGAAGTCTTCGGACTGCACTGCTCGCCGAACTTCTGGGCTTGAACTGAACGCCCGCGCTGTGAAGCAAAGTCTCAGGCCGCTGCCGCGCAAGTTTGCAGCGTCCTTGTTCTCCTCCCGCGTCTCGTCTCCTCAGAGTTCTCAGGCACCAAGGCGGCTCCGAAGGCAGAAGCGGAGGGAAAGCATTCAGGGCAGGAGAGCCCGAAATCTTCTTGCCCGCTCCTCATCCATCGGCAGCCCCCGAGACTTCGGGTAGCTGGCCAGAGGGCGGCCAGAAGGCAGCCCAGTGCCCCGTGACCCTCCGGACAGCAGCGGCGGGAGGTACCAGCTGCTACCGCCGTTGCCGCCCCCAGAGCCGCTGGATCGCATCTGCCTGGGTGCCCGCCACTTGCAGCTGGCGGAGCCGCGAGCGCGCTCTGGGAGGGGGCGGGGCCACAGCCGCAGCGGGGGCGGGGCTCGAACGCCAAGTCCGCGCCGCTGCCTGGTTCACGCAGGCCCGCCCCGCCCCGCTCGCACCCGCCAACCAATGGCGCGCCGAGGTCGGCTCCTATGCAAATCTGCAGAGGCTTCAGCATTCATTGAGAAAAGCACAGAGCCCGCCCCGCCCTTCCTCTATGCCTCTCCCCTCTCTCCTTCCTTCCCCTCCTCCAGATTCCCTGCCCTATTTCTCTGCTGTGTGAACAGGAGCCTGTTTTGGATAAATGTGAGGACCGGAAGAGGCCTTTGTAATCAACCACTCTTTCTAACTATGCACTTAAGAGATTAAACAGGTCCGACTTTGGAAAAGCAGGTTCTGGAATAAAACTGGTGGTAAGGGGAAGGGAGGAGGGGCAGCACGACACTGCCAAATCCAAGAACAGCTTGGATTAGGGCCCTGAGACAGAATCTTCTCTAACCCTTCAGTTATCTGAATACATCCCGGGAACCTGTGGTCCCACCATCTACACAGGAAAAGTTGGCAGGGTGGAGGTGGGAAGTGGCAGCGATCTGGCAGAGTTCTTCAGCTACAACTCATTTATTTCAGACCTCTCAGCCACCCCGCGTTTTCTCAGAAGGGTGCTTGAACATGTGTCCTTTAGTCTCTGCAAGGTAAATATTTGAAATTCCAGTTTCAGAGATGAGAAATCTGAGTCACAGAGATCTTAATTGATTTTCCTTGGGTCGCACAGTCATATGTGCCTCCCAAGCCCTTACTCATGTGCTCTTAACCACTGCTCTGCCATATCCCTCCATGAGTAACAAGCCAAGAAGCTCTCTGGGTGACTTAGCTGGAAGGGATAATGATCAGACACTCTTGCTCACAGCCTTGGGAGTAAGAGTTCAGAACCACTGTTCTTTTTTTACTCACCTGTGAAATAAGAACTGTACCTCTGGTCTCTCTTTCCCTTCATCTCTCCTGAGCTGCCAACACAGAACTCAGATAATGGCTGTGTTTATAACAAGTAGTTCACTAGAACCAGAGACAGAACTACAATCTTTGGTTTACAAAAATCCTTCCATTCCTTCTGCTCAAAGGTTGATTGTCAGGCCTTGTGCTAACTGTCGGAGCTAAAAATAAGGCAAGATGCTCCCTTGAGGAGCTCACAGCCTGGCAGGTAGCAGAGGAGCTTCCTCACAGAGTTAGAGCACAGAATGGAGTTGAATCTTCCTCACTGAGTCACAGAGGGCTGCAGTAACTTGCCCACTGCCCCACAGGAGGTGGTGGCCAAGCAGGGCCTCTGCTCTCTGAGGTTGGGCTCCTTTGAGCATTGTGGCTTGCCTTTGGCAACTGGAAGACCTAATAACAAAAGAATATTGATTCTTGGAATGACTTGCTTCCAGCTCTATGTTTGACAACTCACTTAATTTGACAAGCAACTTGCCTCTCCTTGGAACTCAAAGTGGGTGCACTGACTTGACAAGTTCAAGGCAAAGTATGATCTGACCCAAGTGGAAGAAATGATGCTCCTACCTTGTTGGAGGAAGGGGGGAGGAAGAAAGAGAAAGAGAAAAGTAAGGAAAAGGTATGGAGATTAATACTTCCCTAGTATGTGAGCATATATGTTTGGATTTTCATTTCGCTAGCATGCACACTAGTGGAAGAATAATTTTCTATTTAAAGTGTTAAAAAGACTAAAATGTAGGCTCTTGCACTCCCCATTCCATCTCTTATTTCTCTATATAATTCTTGCCCAAAGTCAAATTGACACCAGTAATTTGTCAATTAACTATAAATTTTCTCCTACAATCAATGGCCACTAGGGGGCTGCAGAGACTTGAAACTTCAGATGAGCTGCCAGGGTTTAACATTCTCCCAGATAATATCCCCGACCATTTACCTTTGCACCTAGTGGACTCAGGGGTCTCAATTAATTCTCACACTTGTATAAATTCTCTCAAATTTCCCCCAAGGAAGGATGAGTGCTTCTCCCTGTAGATTAAATCACACCGAATTTCAAAAATGTTGTTCCCTTTTTGTTAATTTAAAAAAGGAGGCAGGAATGAATATTGATAGGGTCTACTGGTCACTATACATATGCATCTGTAGGAGTGTGTGCATGTGTATGTGTATGTGTGTGTGTGTGTGTGTGTGTGTGTGTGTATCACATCACACAGTGGTCTTTTAGGGGAAGGTATATATTATTATTTCCATTACAGAAACAAAACAGTTAAGGCTCAGAGAGGCAAAATAATTTGCCCAAGGTAAAACAGCAAGTAAATAACAAAGTTGGAATTAAAACCAGTGATTCTTTTTCTCCAAAATTTACATGTCCCACTGGAACAAATTAGGTCTTTTCCCTATGCCTACAGCTAAAATTTTGACACCTCTATCCTATATCACTGCCATCTAGAGGATGGGAGATGAGAAAGTGGAGAAGATGAGAAAGAGTAAGTGGAGGAAATAGAGATAGAAAGATAAAAAGTGTGAGCAAGAGTGACAGTTAATACATCTTGTGCACTTATTATGGGCCAGCATATTTCAAAATAATTTTCATGCGTCACCTCATTTAACATTCACATTAACACTCTAAGGGGAAGTAATAGTATCTCTATTTTACAGATTACAAATGGAATGGCTCAGTGAGGGTAACTTCCCAACAAGAAGACTACACAGGTGACAAGATCTGTTACATGATTTGGACCTGGATATCTGACTAAGAAGCCCATGCTCTCAAACCCTGGAGAACCTCATAAGACAGAAAATGGAGGGGATGGAATAGGCTGAGATGGACAGAGGTGAACAGAGGAAGAAACCGAAAGCCTGACTCAAAAAGAGACAGACAGAGGATGGGAATGGCAGGGAGAACAGACAGGAGATACTGGGAGCCCCGAGGAGACAGTTAATGAGGTGAGCTGCTCCAGGTCACCTTGCCAATGACTTCGGCAGTTAAGTTGAGGAGGGAGGAAAGTGAAAAGACCAGGTACCAAGAGAGGAAAGGGCCAAGCTGGACACTGAGAGTAGCAAGACCCTCCTCAGGAAATTCCCCACTTCTGGAAATGGAGATGTGGACAACTCAGTTAAGGAGAGGTTTGAATTCTCTATAAGGGAAGCAGTAATAAAGACAGCATTTCAAATCCAAGAAGTAATGACTTAAGGCAAAACACACCTCAGAACTGCAAAATCTGACTGAGACCTACAGGGTTAATTAAGTCAGGCATTCAGCTGGTCAAGAAAAAGGAGGAGGAGGAGGAGGAGGAAAGAGAGAGAAAGAGGGAAAGAGGAAGAGGAGCAGGAGGAAGAGGAAGGAGAAGGAGAAAGAGAAAAATCAGTAAAGTCAAGCTGAAGCAAGGCAAGAGAAGATACTTACTGCTACGATATTGGAAACCCACAACCAGTGTAGCTTACACTGGGCCAAGAGCAGGAATTGGGAACCAGAAGAAACATTCAAATGAACTGTGGATTTGGGTTCAGGAAACTGGATTTCAATCACAGCCTTGGCTCTCAGAGACTCTAAGACCTTGGGAAAACCCTTGATTCCTCTGGGCTCATCTATCAAATTAGAAGGAGTAGTTATAGTCTTTGAGACAAATATCCACTCTTAAATTCCGTGTGAGATTCTCCAAGTGACTAAAAGGTCTCATCCAAGATTGGGGACCAGAATTGACGGGAACTAGAAGGAGACTATGAACTTTCAGGGGAACCAGGAAATGAGCTTGGACCTAGGCTGGCCAGAAGAAAAATAAAACAAAACAAAAACATCTTTAAGAAAATATCTCTGCCTCTAGACAAACCTGAGCTCTGAATCTATAGCCTGCAATTTCTGACCAGTCATGAGATTCTTCTAATAATCATCATGCTAAGAAGAAAGTAAAGTTATTAATTCAACTATTATTAGGTACCTACTGTATGCTTGGCTTTGCATGAAGTGCTGAGGAGAAGGACTGTGGTGAATAAAACAGTCAAGGTTCCTACCATCATGAGGCCTTGCTAAAATTAAATGAAAAACCCAGAATACAAAATTGAATTCATGCCTATCCTACAACTAAGCAAAAATTACAAATACCAAAAAAAAGTAACCAGAGGAAAACATTGAAAAATACACTTAATGAGGTGGCAGAATTGTGGGTGATTTTTTTCTTTTTTATGAATGACTTTAAATGGTTTTGTATAATAAATAATAGAATTTGACTCCTTTAAAGAAATTTTATCACTCAGAATAGTCAGGTTATGTTGTAATAACAAAAAAAAAAACCCTCAAATCTCAGTAACTTAAAAACCATAAAGTATGTTCTTCTCATGGTCCATGTCCACTTCAGGTGAGCAGAGGTCTCTGATCGTCATAATCATTTAGGGATCGAGGCTGATGGAGCAGCCACTACTGTAAACTTGGAGGGTCTTTTACCAACAATTAAATACTCCAGCCCGGAAACGGCACATGTCATTTCCACTCACAGCTCTGTCTGGAAATATCCATGTGGTCCTACCCTATCATGAAGGGCCCACAAGGCAGAGAGTTAGAAATATCTAGCAAACAACCTTTTTGACTCCCAAAGAAGGAGAAAACCTGCAAGTGTTGCATTAGATAACTTAGACCAGGAGGGGTTCTAGAAGACTAGAGTTACCCAGAGAAAAACGACTGTGATTTCCCTGGGATCCCAGCCACCCTCAGCTAGCACAGCCTCTCAGTCTGTGCATACATCATCGTGGAAACAACAAAAGAGCTCAGACCCCTCTCATCCCTCCCGAGGCATGCTACGAGAGGCTGCACAGACATGGAAAAAGTCCTTCTCAAACACTAAAGAGTGACAGCCCTCTCTTGGAGACTATAAACAATGTCACATTTACCGAAGAGAGAGAAACAACGAGAGAGATCAAAGCAAACAGTTCACCACTTCACAGCAATCCTGGTGGTTCCCAAAGCATGGTACATTAGGGAAGAAGGGTGTGAGCTATTACT